ATTCGTCTCATTGACTTTCATGATAATATCTACAATACCCACCAAATATAAATTATTTGATAAATCGATGTAAAATAGAGTATACAGTACTAATGCTGCTACCGTCCAATATGGAAAGAAGATTCGAACTTGTGATTTTCCAACAGTAAATTGACTGAAACAGATTGTAATCTATTAAGAGAAATTTAAAAATGTATATGTCAGTGATTTCGAACAACCCGTAAGCTGCTACTATCACAATTGATTGATCACTCGGTGACCAAAGTCATGCGTGTCTAGTCCTTATTATTAGTGCAGATCGAATGCTATCGATCATGTTGCAATGTGGCCACCAGTCTAGGTGATTCGACACTGCGGGCACTATTGTGAGATTAGATGGTGTTTGGAGGTATTCGACATGAAACCCTCGACCCAGGTTTCCTGTCGACTACCTCCCACCACCATCTAACCGCTACTATATACAGACAGCGACAAATTCTCTTATCATTCCAAATGACTGATGATACAGTTGATCAATTAGGAAGACTAATTTTACTGTGTATATAAATATATAAATGAATATTACTCACAAGTAGTAATACTATGTCAGCACCTACAAAGAGAGAGACCAGTGCAACCTGAAATTGAATGAGAAGTCAACATTTAACATATGGATATTCAATAGAAATTTATCAATATCAATATGGGACTGAATCCAATGAATTGAACTGTATATTTAGATAGAACTCATCTTTTAACTTCTGTAAACTCATAATTTTACTGTTTAACAGAAGGATAATGCATATAATGTAATGGAGAGAATTGATTTCCTTGTGCCTGATCTATATTGTTCTACACGTTTTAGTGTATGGTAGTAGTAAACATTAATCACAACTACTTTCCATCTAAGGATGGAAGAAAAACGTTTAGATTTAGACCGTGATTCGATCGCGTACATGTATCACGTACAAAGTGTTATGGTCACGGCAGTCAATATTGAAGAAGTTTGTTTGTTGAATATGTGAATGAAGGAAGTATTATTGTGTAGTCCTTGTTAGTGAAATATGTATCTCTTACACACAGAACTATATTCGTGAAATCTTTCAATTCATTGATGGAAATCATTGTGCATATTGAAGATTATGAGCAAATGAATTGAAGTGTGACTACGTAACGCATTCTACTGTTATCCCGAAACGTATTACACGTTGAAATTAATCCAACGTAGTTGAACGTAATTGATAATTCTGAAAAATTCTTTTGAATCAATTATTTCTTCGTTATTTTCTCAAATCCGATTATTGACCTACCTGAGATTATTATTGAATTAGTATGTCATTTAGAAAACTTCTATGCCTTGGTACGGCCGAGAGTGGGAAGAGTCCGCTCTCCCTCTCGAAATGCTCTCACACGGTCATGCGTATTAAGCCTCTGTCAGGGAAGTCCTACTCATTGTCTTCTAGTGGCTGGGGTGTTTATACCAAAATGAAGGGACGAAAAGCGAAGGTCCGGCAGTTTAACCGAGTTCGTGGACACGTAGAGTCCACGTAGAGGAGTTGGTAAACCCTGATTCCAAACCAATGGTGCACATTGCCTGGCTGTAGTATCCTGAAGGAACAAATGGCGTATGAAACAATCATTGGTCACCGGCTACCATGGGAATGTATCTCCTAACGTTGTTCCTCTGCCTTGTGGATTAGACCTTTAAGTCAAAGGTTCCGAGTGTGGGCTTCTTAGAAAACCACCAACTTCGGTTTGGGCACCCAGGCGGTATCACAGCCCTCACACAAATTAAATGAGATTTGTGTAGCGCATATGTATCTGATGCCTCATTGTATCAATATCTGTATGTTCAAATAAATAAATAATTAAACACAGATAAGTAAATGAATACAAATGCCTTCTGAAAATAAACCAGATTCATAAGCGTTTATTTAGATTGGAAACTTATGGGTAGACTCAGTATTCAATTGTCATCTACTGAGTATCGGGAGTATTATCCAAGTCATTTGTGTTTGAAGTGTGTATCAGACGTTTTGGTCGTAAAAGAATCGTAATAATAAAGGAGAATAATAGTGTCTTCCATGGATTTCCATGAAACAAAATGATCATATGAAAAATAATTAGTTTGTAAATAAAACACAATTTCACTCATTGACATACCCAACGGTCTAAAACATAAAACACAATCGCAGCTGCAACAAAAACGATGGAAAGAATCACAATGAATATTAGAATTGATACGAAATGATCAGCTAATCGTGTTTGAATTGCAGCTCCAATGAATATGGAACAGATAAAAGATATCAATGTGATTGCAATGGCAATAACTTTCCAATAGACGCATAGTTTTAAAACCGAAATTCCAATTGCTGTACCGATCCATATCGACTGAAACATAACAAAATGAAATAGAGACTGAATCAGTAATCAACGTTGAGTTAACCCCATACAGAAAGGTTCCTGTACAATATCTATCATCATACATCTTGTGTTTACTAGGTTACGTTAAGCAAATGTTTACGAGAAAGCTCCTTAAAGTTTCATGATATCATTACCCTAAAAACAATAATGGCTTACCACGATCCTGATAGAGGTACATAATGAAGATTCCCTAATTCAAAAGTCCATTCATATCCAAACATTATAGAAAGACACAGGCATGTGTTCTTCCAATCTTCCAACATTCACTTCAACAATAATATTCAGGAAGTACGGTATCTAAATTCATTTAACTTCTGATGATGTATGAACAATCACTCCCGAATTATATGTATATATGTAGTTCCGTTTTTCTCTCATCATATATATTAGGCATCATTGCGTAATGATAAGTTAGAGTGTTAATGTAAGTGTACACATATACATTCATCTTGAAATATACGTCATGAGGATCATCGTTTACTGCATATATGCTTTTTCAGATCGGTAAACATGTGAGTGGAACTGAGCTCTCTCATATTTTGTTGTCTGACTTGTTTGATGTTCATAGATCAGCGATAGATTTTCCTTTAGATTAGTAAATAAGTTAACACTGTAATCATCCACTATATTATAATAGGGCATCATATTACATTCGTAAATGTAATCACATTTCTAATTTGACACAAATTTCCATCAGTATAGGGTTTTGGAGATTATTAATTTATTGATTGAGATCATTAACCGATTGATGTTAAACCACCATTAAAAACCTGGAATCACTAGACGGCCGTTTCGGCTTATGGTGGGACTCCTCAGCAGTGTGCACTCATGATTCCGATCACAGGATTCGAACTCATGGCTTTTAGTCTCGCGCGCGAACGATTAACCTCTAAACCACTGAACTTGCTAACATCCAACGGTGATAATGTCTAACCTCAACCAATCCACAAAATTGCACGACCATCTTCCATTGTACTGATGTAGATACCCGTCTCTATCCAACACGGATTAGCTCCACTGGTTACGACTTCTCACTAGAACTCCAGGAATTTCCTCATGATCTCAATCAATAACAAGATTTCATGTACTTTAAAAAGTTCAACAACTGTCAAAGTAAATACAAAAATTGACACTTCTTACGTAAATAATCAGAAGACAAATATTCAATGGATGTTCATCTCTTATTTTATGATAGAATATCATCAACATTTCTAACGCAAAAGCAGACCAACTACAAAATAGATCAAAATGAATTAGTGTTATATTTAAATGTTATTGTCATATAAATGTACTTCTAGACAAAAGTCAAACATACTAAATAGAACCACTTACTTCAATGGTTAAGATCATGAGTCATTTGAAGCTAGACCACCATAGAAATCATGGATGCACTGAACGACTGTTCAGTCCTATTGTGGGACTCCCCAGGAGTGCGCATCCACGACCTCGCCCCCTTGCGAGACTCGAACACAGGACCTACTGTTTTCGCGAGAGAGCACTTAAACACTAGACCACTAAACCGGCATTCACTTACTATTACAATATGAGTGAATAGTTGAGATGAAGCTATCCTAAGGATTCATTGTTCACGTATGCTATTAGAAGAGAATTTGTAATATGTTTTCTCGGTCAATTATGAATGTTGACGAAGTATTTTAATTACTGTCTTGTGTTTCCTAGTAGTTGTTCTATCCATTCTACACGGTCATACTGAATATAATTTTGATGAAAGGGTGATAACAACACTAATTAAAATGAGGCTTCTAGTTCAACAATAACATGTAGTTAAGACAAGCTTCATACAGTTTAGAAAAGGTAAACTATGGTTTATTTTGAATTGTAATATAAGTTATAGGATTTCTTTTGAATGGCAAGGCTTATACGACTGTTCAAGTTATCGTTATTCAAATAGTATACATGTCCGACTGTATATTTGACAATGAGTGTCTTTGAAATACTTGAATTAAAGTAATAGTAATTTGAAACCAATTGACTGGCCTTATACCAACATCCATCTACTAATGTGATGATATGGGATTCAGGACGTGTATTTCGTTCGATTTGGAACTCATCAGCTTGATGTACTTGCATTAGATTTAAGGCAATATCAAGGTGATCCACATAGGATCCACATATCTGAATAAAAGACTGATCGATTACAGTCCTGAACATATGATGATATATGTATATGACCATATAACTGAGTACACAGGCGAATGCAACAAGTGAACTTACGAAAAAACATTTAACTCAACAGTTGATGATAATGTTAAGATTACAATAATAGAAAACGTACATCAATACCCAAAGAATAACTGTCCATGGATTCGATAGATATACACTTATGGATCTACAAAATATTTCCTTATATGGATTATTTTGGATAACTTACGGCATTGAGAAGATCATGATAATCAATATTGTAATAGCTATCTCAATTGAGAGAAATAAGTAAACCTAAAATCAATAAACAACTAAAAAATATCGATTATCTCATTACCTGTTTCGTATAATCTGGTATCATGGAACTATTAATGTCATTCATGATCTTGGTAACTTTATTTCTTGATTTGTTCTTCGATGAACTATTGTAGACATCAGGAAACATTTCTCTTCAATGTATCTAGTAAAAAGCATAATGTGATACCGTTTTTTAGCATTTTCAAGGATATAAGACAATATGGTGTAAAACATACGACTGAGCCTCTCTGGAGCTACTGCCAGTTCCGAGCCTGAATAACGGAGGAGGGTTGGGCATAGGGTTAGCGACCCCCACCCGTGATAAACTAACTCGCTAACCAAAAACAAATACTGCTAACATTAGTATCGCAGTAAGAGCAGGAAGAGGAGACTGAATAAAATTTGATACTTGGCTTATTCGTTGATTGTATTGAGATATAATAATTTAATAAAAAAATACTGAATAATTAAATGATTTCAGTAGTTGATATTCTGAGTCAATTGCAACTAGATCACCATGGAAAACCTTAGAGCACTGGATGACCATTTCGTCCTATTGTGAAACTGTTCAGCAGTATGCATCTATGTTCCCAAAGCACGAGATTCGAACCCAAGACTTTTCAGTCTCCCCCGTGAGTTCAGTAAATTCTTATCCATCTATCATTAGATAGTATTCATTCATTCATTATAAAATAGGATGAGTTTTCTTATTTACCTTCCCGTTGTTGATGATGAATGATTTCTTCTCTATAAAAAACATGGAATATCATGATTCATATGGAATATAAGAAAAAGTCGTTTAAAGTAATTGTGATCCATTATGACTTACTTGATAAATTATAGAAATGATGAATATATATATATATCACAGTCCTATTTGGTTTGTTTATGTTACCACGTATAGTAGATTATTGAAACAGAAATACTAAAACGAAACGAAATCTTCTTAGAATTCTATTCAATGATGAAACTTTAAACTGCAAATTAGTTACTATGAGAAAACTAACCGTTTGTTGTTTTGTAGGTGGGTTGGTGGGTAGGTGGGTGCTTGTGTGTGTGTGTTTGTTTGTTTGTTTGTATAGTTTTTTCTGAATAGATGATAAACATAGTATCTCTTATATACAAGATTTAATCTGCAATCTAATTATACTGGTAATTAGAAGAACTATGAACTATGTAATTGTTTTTTTTTCTATTTGATGTGTAATGAACCTTGTCGGTAATCTTCAATGAATACGCTATTCATGTCTTAATTAACCATTAATTGAGTTTTATAGATTATTATAATTCTCAAGGTCATTCAAGATTCGTTCAAAGGTCCATAAATTATAGCCTCGCCTAAAATCGGATCATCTGAAAGAGTGATATATCCCTTGAGCTAATTACTATAATGAACAAGACTTGAGTGGAGATAACCTATTTATTATTCCATACAAAACTACGCAAAATCTTCGTGAAATATAAGTCATACATGAAATTCTTCATTTGGAAATTTCCAATCAATAGTCCATCACATTCTGTATGATTCTTCCAATTAACAATCCTCTTGTACTTCACTTCCTGTTTTCTTCAACTCGATTTTCTAAGGCTTCTGTTGTCAGGTATTTCTCTTCTGATTGGTGTTACATACAATTTATGTTAAAAGGCATATGTTTCATACACTACACTACTAGCAACATCTCTATAAATCAGACTAATCCTTTGTAGTCAGTGTACTTCATTGTATGAAGACTGATACTTGTCTAACTAAAATGTTTTGAGAAATGTAGGGAACAGAAATGACTTTTATACGCCGATTCGAACCGAAAAGTTAATTGATTAACAGCTATTGAATAATCAACTATTGATCATGTTTATTCCAACCAAAATTCAATCAATTCAAAGTAACATCAGCATATTTGATTGAAACCATGAAATAATGATTCTGAACAGTTTTGGTTGGTAAGAAATATGTTTATGTTAAGATGAATAGAATAGATCGAAAAAGGTCAATAGTAAACTTTTATTTAAATACTTAATTGACACAAGATAATGGAGAAGATTTATAGCCTAGCTAAATGATTTCAATAGAGTTTTGTTCTGTGAGTTGAATAGTTTGGTCGTGGAACCTTCATGATTCTTCTGAACGACATCATCAGTATATATGTCAGGTAGAAGTAGACTTCTATATGAACAGATAGATCAATTTACATTTGAAAATTGACAAATAATCCACGAAAGTTATACCATTAAGACATTGATTGTAAGTTGTTTGTTATTGAAATAATCTATCAAAGAAATTCGATCATGCAGTACGTACAAGTTATATGTCCATCTTTTAGTTTTTTCTAGCAACAAATTGTTTGACTCAACTTTAAGTTTCGAAATGCATCAGAGGAATCATCAACAATACCTAACCATGTAACGTTTAGTAGCCTGTTGTGTTCGCTTGTGGTGGCGGGATCACCATTTTAGTGGCCCGTGATCTGACTCCAATTTGATCGTAATGGTTGGTTGCTATCGTCTATCCTCGTATATAATCATTGACTTAAATCGCGTTAGTTAATAACGGAATTAAATAAGTCAACTAACGAGAATGGAGTTTTGAATGCATATATTTTGTAGAATTGTTGATTAGACAAACGAACGGAGGAACGATGCGAAGATTAGAAAGCGAAGCTAAATTGACGCGCGGTGGAGATGGCTGGTAAGCCAACTCTCCCTTTAACAAAGAGTTAATGAATATTTTTAAGCCCACAAAAATAAATTACAAACATGTGATGAGTAACGGGATAAGAAGTGTGCATACGCCTACGCGCTCATACAAAGACAGTCAAGACATTGATAAGCGAATAATTAACAAGGTCAGAATGTGACTCAAATAGAATGAATAGAATGGGCTGTCCGAAAGTTAGAATGATGAGGTATTTGGGCTTAACATAATGACAGACACTACAAACGTAAACCATACACTTACAATCATGAAATGTACAACTAAACTTAATCTTAAATGACTAAGATAGGTCCCAAAAGATGCTTCATCACTTAAATCTAAGGTATAGTACAAATGCAGTAATTTAACTAGTTACTAGCTGAATCCTAAGGGTATAGAAGATATTTAATTAAACAAAAGTCCGAAATACGATGAAACACCAGTTCACTACCCATCTTTGCTTAAAAAATGTTTATGACTTAAAGCAATATCGAGGCAATCTTCACAAAATGCGCGTATGCCAACATAAGACCGTTCAATTTCAGTCCTAAATAACAATGAAAAGATACAAAAAAAACAACACCCGAATGAATTTCAAAGTTAAATGTATTTGATGAGAATAATATTGTCAATATTTGGTGTAGATTATTGATAGTAGAACGTTTACTATCCAGTGTTTACGATCAGAGATCAACATTTTAGTCTTATTGGAACCTTCAATGTTTACGAATTCGCAAATACTTTATAACGTTCACATTGCTTTGAATGTTTTTTGTTATTAATGTTATTGCAGGTTATGTATTTCTCATTCTAATACAGTGTGTAATACAGTCTTTTGATATATAAAATTGTTAAGTGCCCCCAAACGCCCTGGTACGGCCGAGAATGGGGAGAGTCCGCTCTTCCTCTCCAAATGCTCTCACATGGCCACGCGTATATAGCCTCTGCCAGGGAAGTCCTACTCACTGCCTTCTCGCACCACGGGTGTTGTTTACGAAAATGAGACGGATGTCTGGCGCTTAAACCGGATCCCAAAACAATCATGCACATAGGCTCCAGTATCCTGTGGGAACAAATGGCGTGTGAACCAATCGTTGGTCACTGGCTACCGTGAGACTGCATCTCCTCACGATGCTCCACTGCCTTCTGGATGAGATCTTGAGGTCGAAATCTCAGGGTGTGGTCCCCTAAGAAAACCACCTGCTTTGATTTGGGCACCCGGGCAGTATCACAGCCCTCACACACATATCAAATGAGATCTGTGTGGTGCATATGTATTTGGTGCCTCCTTGTACCAATATCTATGTATTAAAATAAATAAATAAATAAAAAGGAACAAGTATTTTCAGACCATCATGGAAAACCTAAAAGCACTGGACGGCCGTTTCGTCCTATTCTGAGACTCTTCAACAGGGATCAGGTTTTCATAGTAGTCTAGCTTCATTTCACTCATGTTCTCAAACATTACAATTACTATCATATCCACAAAAACCCTCTTCTGATATTAATTACATTTGTTAATAAACGTAATTTCCTCAGATTGTCCGATAAACTAACAGTGTTGATATATATTCATTTTTATGTGATGTAAGTACAAAATGAGTTGAAGCAGAGAGGCATCATGAGTCACTCAGCAACAACGTGGAACTTCATAAGTACGTACGCACATCGGTTAAATTTGTTATACCACATTAGCATACAGATACAATTGTCGATTCAAATCTCATAGTGGTAGAAGTAGTAAAATTATAAACAGTAATCGGAAACATTAGGGTTTGAGGACGTTATTCAATAAGTAAAATACAGTGAGAGAGAATAAATAGAAGGACATGAAGAATTTAGAAGATTAGAATTTGTGAGAACACAAAGAGTGAATGTACCTGCGCCGTTGCAAATGATTAATTTGAGTCATGTCATTCAAGGTGTCTAACCATCAGTTGCTATCGATTTGCGGATACCAACCAGATAGTCTACACCTACCAACATAGCTCAGTTCACTTTTCAGTGACTTCATGGGTTTATGCTATGTTTTGGTCTAGCCGTTCCTAGCTTTCCTCCAACAGTCGGTTCGTCTAATAATGATCGGCAAATATTAAGAAACTACAGTTTATTTCATGTGATATTTTGAATGTCATTCACGCGGACGACCTTCTTTGAACATAACATGTCAATGCAATCTGACATACAATAGTTAACGTAAACGACTCAACTCATGAATTTTCTTCAACTTTAAAACATTGTTCAACAAATTCCACTGTATTGCTAACATATTAATACTCCATTGCAAATAAGTCTGTATCTGGCCTGAATTCCACCAACCAATATGATTTTCGCATTACTGAACCTTATATAGCAAACCAAATTTGTAACAGAAACAGATTGACAATAACATAACCGTTAAGAGATGGCTCCGACAATGATAACTTACATATCACACCGTGTTTGATAACTATAGTTTTAGTACGTGACTTTGATTAAAGTGAATTCTCAGTGATGCAGCACATTTATTAATGTTCTGAATTAAGAGAATATACAGTTGCTAAGTAGGTTATGGACTTTGAGACAAACAGAATCAATCCATTATATATCATTTCCTTCTAATTAAAATAGATTAAAGAACAAACCTTTGTAGTGAGTCTCTTTGATCAAATTATTACTGTCAATTAGATCAAAAAAACAGCGGTATCTATAACAATTTTCTGGATCGATGTGTAATACCTTTTCATTTTAGGTACTGAAATACACATTGGAGTAGTATATTGCATGAATGATACTTTGAACAGTACTATCATTGTAATTTATAGCTTGTTTTGATTGACGGTTGAGACAAACATGCATTATTTCCATTCATTGGAATAGTTCAAAGTGTTTAGAATACCGAAAGTATAATAAACCTAAACTTCATATTCAACAGAATTCGCAAAATACTTCAAGAAACGTGTACCTATGGTAATAAATTTCTGGATTACAAGTTGTGGTTTACCAAAATGTTGATAGTGTGGTCAATCAGCACAACACAATATATTTCAGTACTATGTGTTGACAGTTAACTACAAAATCCTCATAATTTGCAATGAATAGAGATAGAGGATTGTGCGTTTGTTATTGAAATGCGACTATAGTAGTTTACTTGGTAATCTATTTTTGTAAACAAACATCTCAGGATATAAGAAGAAGAACTTCTAGGAATACTTAGTCCAAATCTACACGATCCACTTAAACCCACTGAATCGAACACTACGCAACTCTGTGTTTTACCTAAAGTTCACAAGACAAATGTTCTTTTTCGTCCAGTTCTAGATATTATATAATTCGCCTTATCATAAAACTGTAAAGTGGCTAGTTCGAATCCTAGATCCCTTACACAAACTAGTCGTCAACAGAAATGTAAAGACGTTTTAGATTCCATTTCACTAATGTACATTTAACTGAAACTATTGACTACGTGTGCCAGGAAGTACTTGAAAAACAAATCAAAATATTAAAATTCACGAGGTTATTCTCAAAGAATTACTTCTGAAATGTACAATGAATATCTATTTTGTCTTGAATAACATAGATTATAGACAAATTGATGGCATAGCGTTGGATTCACCTCTAGGTTCTATCATTGACGATTTTGTTCTTATGTAACTACAAAGCGGACCTCTCAAAGATGTTATTGATAAGCTTGATTTCTACTATTGTTACGTTGATGGTGCTTTCATAACTGTCGATCAGCACATTGGAAAAGAAGAACTACTAGAGATATTTAACAACAAACAACCAGCAATTAAATTTACATGTGAAGAGGAACTGGATTATAAACTACATTTGCTAGATGGTTTGTTAAACAGATAAGAAAATGGTTCTATCAGTAGAAGTATATATAGACAAAGTTCTTCATCAGGACAATACACACATTTTTTAAGCTTTGTAACCCTTTCATTATAAAAGAAACTTAGTCAAATGTCTGGCACATAGAGTTATTAAGATATACTCGGTTGATAGAATTAACAAGGAATTTCAGCTCATACATAATGTGTTGATTAAAGTGGGTTATCCACAGAGTTTCCTGAAGAGACACTTGCGTATAGCAAACAAGAAAATAGCAACATCAACGGCTAGAAAGTAACCTCTCTTTCTGAAGCTGAAATTCAATGGAGATGAAGCTAGTGATATACTACATGATAAACTGACTAGAGCAGTGAAGAAAACGTTTAATACAGCCAACCTTTATTGATCGTACTCGACGCAATCTATGATGAATCTGCAATAACTGATAATTTTTCTGGTTATGCCATTTTCATATGAATCTACGAATTCAGCTACCCCTATATAATGAAGTAGAGCTTGATAAGGATCTAATCGAAAACCATATTGTTCGCTTATATATGTTGTTCTAAATCACAATATGGAGATCTTTCGAACGTTTTAGCTGGTTGAACTAAGATAAGCTACAATGAACCAAACAATTGAACCGATGATCATGAGAATGTGTATAAGCTTTAAAACAGATAATCAATATTATACAGAATATACTGTGTACATTTCTTTACGTAAAGATGTTTAAATCTTGCAGGTTTAACAGACAACTTAAATGTTTAATTTTATAATGTTGTCAGGCTTATTGTGATCAATCTTCGTCTTTTAGGAAATCTGGATATGCTCTTAAAGCTGCATTGAGGTGTGTTGACAATCTCGATAGAACTAACTTATTCTATGTTCCATGGGAACTGGATATTAAGGATACTTGTTTTGGACATTGTTGTTTATCAGTATTACTGGAATTCTAGTAAAAATGGAAGGTTTTTTGTTGTGAATAATACTAAAAGTGATTAGATTTACAATGTATGACAATATATTCATAAAAAGGCATCTTCAAGCTGTCGATATTTGCATTCCTGGTAAATACGACTAATTATTGTGGTTGCCACATTGAAGTGACTGAACAAGTGCTAAATACCTGAAAAATCAGAAATCAAATGTCTCAATCGGAGCACATGATAATAGACGACTTTTGTGGTTTAATGGATTAAGCTGTTACACTGCCAACCAAATAATTGTACATAATCCGATCTGCGCTCATACATAATTTGCAGTAACACTAAGTCCAGCATGATAATACTGATGTATTATCTTGATTGATGTAAAACATTCATGTCTAAATCTTCTAATCTAATGCTCAGCTTTTCATGTATAAACACGTAACAATATCTTGTTGCAGTTCACATGAAACAATCATATTTTCGTCAAATAGTTTCACAGAATTTATAACATTATCAAGCTGTAATTTGTTTACTATTAGAGAATGTTCCAAAGTACATACATTGTAAAAGTAATGAGGTGTAACAGTGAACACTAATGTCAAACAATATGTGTTGATTTATTCCAAGATAGTCTGTTTAGTGTGAGTTAGTTGTACAAAATTCGAATGGATATTTGACTTGAAAATTTCCGTCACTTGTATGAAATGTTAGTGATATTCGTCCTTTAAAATGTTCATCCTGGACTCGGGTTTCCTGTCAACTGCCTGACTGGGTGTTCATCGGATTAAATTTGTTAACGTTTTCAACTCTCCATTTCTAAAGTCATGTGAAATTCATCTCTCCTTACGTAATCAGTCGATATATTCATTAGCCTTAAATAACTTTGTTTAACTTATTTTTGATTCCTAACAACTGAAACATCTATTGTACTCTGCCTTATTCCATTTCAACACAATGATCATAACTCTGTCGATTAATGTGTTATGTGTAATGTTCAGCTTCGTATCATGATGCTGATTAATCAAAGAACGTTTTCATCTCCAACAAAGAAAATTATGTAACATATTCGATAATAATTTTATGATTAATTTTGGTTTTGAACTGTGTTAATTCTGATTTATATTCTCCGTACTGATTCACTTCCCGTCCACTCTTTTGCAAATTGTTTTATACTACTTATTTATATTCAGTAAGTAGTTGTACTCCCAGCAATTTTTACGCTAATGTTGTAACGCAAGTTGGTCGTGTATTATTATGAAATACATATAACATTTATTGTATTCATCATTATAATTACTTTGTCTCAATCATTATAGCAGTTATTCATAAGTTTGTTTAAACGAAATGGTTTCCATATCAGAAGGGGTTGTGTGAAGAATTTAAAAATTTCACTGGTTGAAATCATGAGTCAATTGAAGCTAGACCACTATGGAAAAACTGGAAGCACTGGACGACCGTTTCGTCCTAGTATGGGACCACTTCAGCAGTGCGGATCCACCAACCCGTTCCCCCAGAGAGATTAGCTTTTGTTTCGATTTTCGCTTGTTGATAAACTGTTCCCAGGTTGAGACACAGATAACAGCTGTCCTTCGCACTATCGTATGTTGCAAATATTTTTTATGTTAGTATTTCAGGAAATCCTATTTGCATTTCAGACAAAAAAGACGCGAATGAATTGTTTATGCTCTAAATGACTGAGTAGTAGTCTTTGAAGTAGAATTTCACACCATAATAAAGTGTATTATTATCTTTGAGGGAACTAACCCACTATATCTCATTCGCAACCTCAGAATTTCGACTGCTTCATTAAAATGTATTTATCACTACTACTATTACTAGAAGAATCCCACAGTCCGTTAGTGAATATTTTCCAATACACACATTCTGACAATTAGAAAAAAATTCAAGACATTCAGTGCTTCATTTAGTGATCTGTCTATACAGTAAACATGAAATTTATTCGGTTGCATATCGAGTTCCAGGTGAAGTGTTTCACCGAATAATCCTTCGCAACTTGATCTAAACAATCAGTATCATATTGAAAGTGAACTGAATAACTGTGTTTAATCCATATTTACTGATATGAAAAGTATGTCAATCAATTGAGCAAAATCTTCAGTGATTTATTTACTCGAAACATAAAGTGTAGACATGACAACATAGTTTGACCACATAGACAGTTTGTCATCGGAATCGAACACTTTTAGACAGTCATTTTACGATTTGTTAAGTTTTCGTTTTGATAACATAAAAGATTACTCAATTTCGCATCTATTGTTACCACAATGTCAGTAGAATTGAGTAACATAAACATTTTTGATGATATTCTTTTGAAATTTTGTCTTTCGGCTTCCAATGTTTACTACTTTACGAAGCAACACTTTGGATTGTTCGATCACCATCAGGCTGCCATAAATCGATTTTATATGGTATCAAAAGTGAAATTATGATTGAGCTTCACAGTTGTGGTTTAGTGTATTGTGATATTTGTGAGAAGATAAACACAGGTAGGCTGTTTACAGCACAGTTGCTTGAACAAATTTGATTCATTTTTATGGAATCACTTCACCACCACTATAAAGTACGAAAAACATCTCAATGTTCCAATAACATAAACTTGTCATTTTAACCATTTGAGTACATTAATGTGGAGCCAAATAAGCAACTGGGCATCTAATATCCACTTTAAGATTATAAGAAGAAATTAGTTTTTAAGTGTATTTCTCTCTTTTTTTAATTTCAACGGTAGAAACAAAGATGATCTAGAGAAATGATCTTTATGTTTTTGATGTGAGCAAGTAATTTATTCGATGCCTCTTACTTTATACACAGAACTCTACGTTGTACCTCTAGTATAGTAGTGAATAAAGCTCATATAAATAATAATAACAAATATACAGCTGAAAGATGAATGAAACCAAGGCTCGAAAACAGATAATAATCTGAAGAAGAACAGTTCCATTATTAAGTTTGGTTGTAAACTGCAATCGTAAAATATATGTTGCGATTAACACGTC